GATCCGTACATATTTTGCAAATGACCTAGGGTTGCCATTTGGTAGTACTTGTTCATGGTAGATGGAAGACTAGTGTTAGTAGTAGTGCTTGTATATGCTAGATGGAACACTTATGTAGATGATGATGATGATGATGACAACCTTCGAACAATGCTTTGAACTCCTTATCGTGTGTAATGCTTCGAACTCGTTATGATATGACTCATTATGGTGTGTAATGCGAACAATGTTTTGAAACCATGAAGAAAATACAATGTCAATAAGTTATGAAATAATGGACTTAGGAAACAGTTTTATAAAAATAGCGTCACTTGGAGAAAATGGCCAAGAATTTTTGGGTTTGGAAAAAAACCATAAAGACAATGTCAATACGTTATGAAATGGTGGACTTAGGAAATTGTTTCACGAAAATAGCGTCACTCGGAGGAAATGGCTAAAAATTTTGTGTTTGGAAGAAAAACACGAAGACAATTCAATTTTAAGGACGTATATTTCAAAAACATTCATGAAAGCTAGACTTGGAGGTAATGGCCGAAGCTAACATATTCCTAGCGCCAGCCAAAGTGGCCCGCCTGCTCCCCCTGGTGCCGCAACCCTGCCGCACGAGGGAGAGGGAGAGAGGGTAGCAGGAGCAGCCGCTCAACTCGCCGGCCGCGCGGGCTCAGATGGTTGGGGCGGCCGGGGACGCGGGGTGGCGGCGGCGGTGGCGGCAGCGCCGAGGAGCGCGGAGTGAAGGAGAGGGAGAGCGAGAGAGAAAGAAAAATGGGCCGGGCCGACCATATCGTATATGACCCTGTCGCGTCAGCCCGCCTGGTGCGACAACCCTATCGCGTCGGGGTCGTTGGCGCGACAGGGAGGGCCTCCGGACTGCCACGCCAGCTCCGGTCAACGATGCGTGCCACCGTGGCACCCCTTGTCGCGCCAGCGCATGTGGCACGACCAAAAGAGTCATATTTACAAATACTCTTTTTTGGGATTAGTATTAAAATATTGTTTAAAAAAGGATTAAAAAAAAAGCGAAGCATGTCTGCGACGTCAGCGTCCATGCTCTAAAGATTTACGGCATAGTGGTACACATCAAGTATCCCAGGTAATGGTCTAGTAGATTATTTACATCTTTTTTAACTGAGGTAGAAACACTGCCACACTGGAGCAGGAAGTCAGAAGTATTGGAAAGTATGCGTTGGGAAACAGCACAATTGCTTGGATGGTAACTGGCCTTTTCAATCGCCAGCGACGACGATTCCATGCATCATGCATGCGTACCCTATGACCCTATCCCCATGAGTATATACACGGACACGTCCCATTTCCAAAAGATCGAATTTTTTTTGAAGTGATGCAAAAAAGTAACTTCCTTTGAAATACTGACGATACGATCCCATAATATCCGGCATCAACGTACGTCGTCAAATGTGAAAATTTAGGCACACGCACGTGCCACGCACGTTTGAAATGTACTCCGTGCGTACCACTACGACGTAGTACGTAGGAGTAGGTTGAACCAAGCACGTACGTACAGTATATCTCTGACACCGTGACACAATGGCGTACGATGATACAACAACAACAGTAGTACCCGATTCATCCATTTTCACGTTCCATCTTTCGCGTGTGACAACTCGGCCACGCACGCAGACGACGACGGAGCAGTACTTCACAGAATCCCCCGCCACTAGTCATCAACAGGCGCGCACCGGTGTGCATGCATGCATGCATGCCATCGACATCGTCCCTTGCCTTGCCGATGCCGTGCCTCGGTAGACGGTAGCTAGAGTAGTAGCCTGTGCTTGCTACCCTGGTCAACACATCGTAGCCTCCTATTTAAACGGCACACACTAGCCAGTAGCCACCACTCCATGCACCCTAGCTAGCTTCTGGTAGCGAGAGCGAGCGAGCCAATGGACTCCAGCTTCCTCCCTGCCGGCGCGGAGAATGGCTCGGCGGCGGGCGGCGCCAACAACGGCGTCGCTCCGCAGGCGGCGCCGCTGATCCGCGAGCAGGACCGGCTGATGCCGATCGCGAACGTGATCCGCATCATGCGGCGCGTGCTGCCGGCGCACGCCAAGATCTCGGACGACGCCAAGGAGACGATCCAGGAGTGCGTGTCCGAGTACATCAGCTTCATCACGGGGGAGGCCAACGAGCGGTGCCAGCGGGAGCAGCGCAAGACCATCACCGCCGAGGACGTGCTGTGGGCCATGAGCCGCCTCGGCTTCGACGACTACGTCGAGCCGCTCAGCGTCTACCTCCACCGCTACCGCGAGTTCGAGTTCGAGGGCGAGGCGCGGGGCGTCGGGCTCGCCCAGGGGGCCCCTCCGCGCGGCGGCGGCGGCGACCACCCCCACCCCCTCAAGTCCCGCGGGCCCGGCTCCGGAGCCGCCATGCTACCGCACCACCACCACGATATGCAGATGCACGCCGCCATGTACGGGGGCGCCGTGCCCCCGGCGCCGGGGCCTCCGCACCACGGCGGGTTCCTCATGCCACACCCACAGGGCGGCAGCCACTACCTGCCTTACCCCTACGAGCCCACGTACGGCGGCGAGCACGCCATGGCCGCGTACTACGGAGGGGCCGCCGCGTACGCGCCTGGCAACGGCGGCGAGAGCGGCGACGGCAGTGGCAGCAGGAGCGCGTCGCACACACCGCAGGGCAGCGGCGGCTTCGAGCACCCGCACCCGTTCGCGTACAAGTAGAGTTCGTTCAGCAAGTCATCGTCGATCTGCTGATGAGGATCTGCACGTACGCTCCTGTACGCATGCATGTATCGGGCGCATGCGGGTCCTAGTGTGTGCACTGCTATTTTAAGTTCTGTCCCCGGCTAGCAGCTTATTTTCCTTAAAATATCAGTCTCTAGTTTCTTAGTGGTAGTATTGTTCCATGCTTGCCAGTATGTAGCATTATGTTCGGGTAACCATTGATGAAATTATTTCCTGCGTGCTTTCAGATTGACTGTTCGTGTTTCTTCTGCAGTTCTGCTGCTAGCTATTCACGCAATTATATTGTTGATTACTGTATCGTTTATTGGAAAATAAAGTACGTACAATAGTCTTCTGGAGGCTTGGAGCTAGCGGATTGTTTGTTGTACTACACTACGTACGTACCCGTGTTTTAAATAACGGGCTAAAGTGTTTAAGGGTATATTAAAAAAGCTAATAGCAGAGCTATAGCAGGATATAACGGTCAAATTGTATATGAATACAGATAGCCTATAGCCGCAGCTATAGCAGGAGATTTAAAACAACGTTAGATACCACTATACCTTACGTACGGTGGTACGGCAGCCGTATATGCATCGTTTGAGTGTGATGCATGGTTGCCTACTTGCCTTCGTAGTCGCTGCTGCTATAGCCAATAGCCTGTGTAGGTGACGTGTTCGTGGCTTCCGACGGGAGGAAACGCGACGGCCGGCGGCGCATGTTCTAGACTCTGGACTACGTGAAAACGCCATGGGCTGGGACACCCTTGCGGGCGTGGGCGTGTGTCCAAGTTCCACGGGCCACGGCCAGCCAGTTGGCTTGCGCCGTTGCGCGCCAGGCGTTCCAGTCGCGTGCGCGGCTGCATGCAGCGAGGCGGCCGCGACAAGTGCCGGCAATTCTGCCGGCCATGCATGTCCATGTTCAATGTTCTCTTGTCCAACAACACACCGTCTTGTTTTGGATCTGATAGTCTGATTCCTACGTGGAGGCTCGCTACTTTAATGTATCGGCAGGTCTTCGTTCCGGGACTCGTTTAGATTGCAAATTTTTGCAATCCGAACACTGTAGCACGTTTCGTTTGTATTTGACAAACTTTGTCCGATCATGGATTAACTAGGCTCAAAAGATTCGTCTCGTGATTTACAACCAAACTGTACAATTAATTATTTTTTTTACCTACATTTAATGCTCCATGCATGTGTCCAAAAATTAATGTGATGGAGAAAGAATGAAAAAACTTGAAATTTTGATGCGATCTAAACAAGGCCCCGTTTCCCCTGCTCCATTGCATGCCCTGCTCGCTGCCGCTTCGGGAACTGAATACCGCAGCTCGGCTAGGGCTGTGTGTTTAGTTCCAAATTTTGGAAATTGAGTTACTGTAGTATTTACGTTTTTATTTAGTAATTGGTGTTCAATTATGTACTAATTAGACTTAAAACGTTCGTCTCGTAATTTTTAATCAAATTGTGCAATTAGTTTTTTTCGTCTACATTTAATGCTCCATGCACGTATAGCAAGATTCGATGTGATGACTACTGTAGCACTTTTTAAGAAAAGATTTTGGAACTAAACCAGACCTAGCTCTCTCTCACTCTGCAAGTCTGCATGTAGTTCCTTCCCTATGCCCATCTCTCTCTACTGTACGCACGACCGCGTGAGGTCAGGTCTATTTTTGTTGCGGCACGGCTGCACGTACAGCCTGCGTCTGCGTGCGTGACGAAATATCTACCTGTAGCCATGCACACAGCGGTACAGCGTCAGGCCGCAGCACCCTACGCCGTGCCAATTGTTACTATACACAGTACGAAGAGCTTGGTTCCATCGTGGGCTCGTACGTTTGATTGTCAAATATCGGAGTACCTTTCATTCGATATTTTTTGAGACAGCCAATTCATTCTATGTTTTTTTAGACACATTCTTCTGATACTGCAACGAACTACACATTCTTCTGAAAAGATGAATGACACCACCGGTCACCAGGTTGCGAGACGTTGAACGCACTGTACTAAAATGTGGCCAGTTCAAAATACACAACAAAAATTATTTTAAAATACATGAATACCAGAGAAAACGGCAACACGCACAAGAAATCCAAAACCAATGCGGTTATGCAAAACCGTGACAAACGTGAGGTCCCCGCCACCGTTGTTTGATTCCTTGGCCTGCTTTTACTAAGAAGATCAGTTCCGAGCACAACAGAAATTATTTAAAATACATGGAATACCAGAGAACGCTCAAAATTCCAAAATCGATGCTGTTGTGAAAAATAGTGACAAACGTAGTGGTGGTGTTCACTGTTTACCAGTCCCCGCCAACGTTGTTTGATTCCTTGGCCTGCTCAGCCTGGAGCCTGGCGTCCCCGTCTGATGTCGCCTCTGCTACGGTGCCAGAGGAGTGATCCCCAGCTTCGCCGTTTTCAAGTCTAACACACTGCCTCTTGTTGGAGACATACGTTTCTTCCTCTTCTAGCTCTTCATCCCCATCATCGTCCACCTCATCGAATTCCTTGTTCAGGTCTTCCTCAGAATGGTCTCCATCTGCATCCCCTTTGGCGGCACCATCATTGTCATCCAAGCTTCCTTTGTCCCCATCATCTCCAGTTTCAGCTTCTCCTCGCTTCCTTTGTGGAATCACATGGAAGAATGCCGTCTTCCAGTCTCTTGTTTCCACAAACTTTAACATTATCTCAAACACTTGGTTAACTGTAAGAACCTGCATGATTATTGATACACAAGAGATCAATAGTCTTAGTACAAACTACTCCAGAGAGATCAGATATTCTAATGCCAACAACTTCTTCATGAATAAAAGTAACAATTGAGATAACTAGATATTCAGACAGTTCAATGGAACTAATCTGACAACTTGTGGCAGTACCTTATAACAAGCACAAGTATAAATACATTGCTCTCACTTGTCCAGTGTTCATTCAAGTCTAAATACTCAGAATTTCAGCAAAAGGCACAACCATGGTAACTTTCCATATTTTAATGTGTTGTCAGACAATGCCTCATAACAAAGGAGTCTGTAAAGTACAGAAGACACCACCACAATCTATGGACATATTGGAACATTTCAAAGGCATATATAATGGGTACAGAGACAAATTTGAAACAGAAGGTGATGCTTTCAGACACAAGGTTATTGAAAGTCAAGTAGTTTTTTTTTCCCGTGTGAAAGGTAGAAACAGATATACACTCACCTGAGAACTTGACATTTTTAGGTAATTTCCAATAGGAAGTTTTGCAGATTGAATTCCCTGCTCAGCTGACTTTTTCAGCGTTAAGCCCTTCCATCTATTTCGATCCACCAGGCCACCAATGATGTTATATTTTCGACACGTCTAGATCATCAAGCACTGTCTCAGCATCTGCTGTAAGATACACAAGGTTTTCTTTACGATCTTCAAATGCTTCAATATAAGGCTTGGCCGCCTTTTCAATGATCCACTTATCATACCCAGGAATTCTCTGAAGATGGGTCGCCATTTCTCCACTGCAACCTGTCAACCACAGGTGAGCTGGGTTTGCAGATCTCCCATTCACTGCATAGCAGTACATAATCTGTAACACACATCAGTTCATTTGTAAAATATTTTCTCAAGGTAATATTAAATTTTGTGCTTGCAGAAGATATGGAGCAGGAGCTTGACAGAGATATTTTACAACGATATGTAATGCAGACATAGGAACTAGTGCCCTTCTCACAAACTTGCTGTAAAAAACTCAAGAGAAAAATATGGGCACAGGGCCTCTAAGAATGGCATTGGATATGGCCACAAACTCACTAATTAGCACAAATGACATTAGGTGTGGTTTTGTAAACCAATGGTGCAGTTCTCTAGCAAGTCTGCACTTTGTAGTCAGTTTACACTTTACAGCCTTTGCACAAACATTTCAATATAACGAGTTTAACAAAAGGGCATCAGTTCAATGAGTCTTGGTTACTTAGTTTACCAATATATGAGATCGTTCAAACACATTTAGTAGATAGTTCATAATTCCATACATCAAGATCGGCCAGTCGCTTCACATAAACTACTCAGTTATAGGCTCCCTCGAGAATCATACAGACTACTGATTGCCATACAACGTTTCATTGAGTTCAGACTTCAGAAGATACTAACAAGAGAACGGCAATTTCACCTGCTGCGTGAGGCTGTGAATCTCGTTGGGCCGCATAAGGTCCGCGAACTCGAGGTCCAGCACCACCTTCTGGCCCGGGCCTCATCCGACGTCGCGGCGGCGAGAGCGTCCTCCCACTCACGCCTCCGCCGCCTTCCGGGCAGCCTTACGTTCCGCCTGCCGCTCCTGCTTCTTCCTCGCGCTCTTCGAGAGCTCCGGGGGCTTACCCCCGTCTTCCGCTGCCAGCGTGGCTTGCTCGGTCTCCGCGTCGTCGGCCATCTCAACGCACCGCCGCCGCCGGAGCAGCCTCTGGGTTTGTAGAAGGTTTTCTGGGTTTCGTCGTTTCGACTGAGAGAGGCGACTTGACCGAAATAACCTTTGGCGGTTTTTTGGAAACCCGTGTTCTCGCGGAGATTATGACATTCAGATGGACTGGGTTAATGCGCGACCCGTCGCGCTAATGCACGAGCGCGGGACCGCGCGCGCGATACCTCGCAGCCCCCAGCATGCTACGACGAGACCACAGCTCCCAGACACTTGCCCTTTTCAGTTTGTGGTCCAGGCGCAAAAGGCTAGCGCACTATGCTCAATCCAGCTCCGTGCTGCATGTGTATTTTCTTTGAATTTCTATAATTTTTGAATGAAGTATCCGTTTTTAATTCCGTTTACACGGGTTCACTAACATATGTTTCAAAAAATTTATTTTAGTAGCAATTTATGTGTAATATACGTGCTACAAGATTTATCAAAGGAGTTATTACAATATAATACTAAAGTTGCTACTCCAAAAATATAGTAAAGTTGTTACATAGTATGCACAAGTTAGGGTACCATGTAATACTATAGTTATACAACTTGAGGGACAAATTATTAAAATAAGCATGCATAAGCTGCCAACTCGGAGGCAAGTTATTATAACTTGCTCAAATCTGCTCCTCCTTTCAGCTCGAATCTACCGGTAGCCATCCTCACTCCATCCATCCAAATCTGCTCCTTCTCTCCGTCGATTTGCTCCTCCTCCTCGCACTAAAACACATGAATGTAGGCATTAATGAAATTGGCAGCCAGAAATTTAACTGAAATTGACAAAAAGAACTAAAACTAAAGTAGAAAAAATGAAAAAATACAGCAAAATAAAAGGGAACTAAAATTACCTTAAACTAAAATTGACAAACAGAAACAAAAAACAAAAGTAGACAAAATGAAAAATAAATAAATAATTAAAACATAAAATTGAAACTAAAAAAACCAGAAACTGCTTGAAATTGACAACTCTAAAACTAAAATTACAATGAAATAAAACTAAAATTGACCACCATGAAAACAAACTAAAATTAAAAAAACTAAAGAACACAAAATGAAACAAAAAACTAATATATAGGAATTAGGAAGGCATTTGAACCTGAAAGTGTGACTAAAAAATGAAACTCAAAACTCATTAAACTAAAATTAAAAGAAACAATTAAACGAAAAAAACAAATATGTGCGACTTAGGAAGACATTCAAACATGAAACGGAAACCGAAACACATAAACTGATGAAATGAAACGCATAACTCATTAAACTGAAAGGGAGACTCAAAAAATGAAACTCATAACTCATTAAACAGAAACTAAAAGAAAAAATGAAACAAAAAAAGTGAAGAAATGAAACTCATAACTCATTAAACTAAAAGGGTGAATGAAAAGAATTAAACTCATAAGTCATTATACTGAAACTAAAAGAAAAAATAAAACAAAAATTATGACTCTAGGTTAAACATATTCTTGCATCACCAGACCACATGGCAGCATATGAAAAACATTGTAGCAGTCCCAAAACACGACAAGCTGCCAACTGAGGACACACTATAACCTTTGGAGCCACCAACCCGGAGTCGAAAAGCCCGCTAAACTAGCTACGACCCTTAGGCTGTGTTTGGCCGGGCTTCGCCCGCGGTGCTCCCTCGTTGGAGCCGGAGCCGGAGCAGCGAAGCCACAAATCCGGGCTTCGCCTCCGTACGTGCAAAAGGGCTTCGGCTCCTCCGACAGACGGGCAGAAGCGGCTCCTCCGGCCAACGTGTTTGGTGCGGCTCCTCCGCCGGAGCTGCCGTGGAGCCGGAGCCCGGCCAAACACGGCCTTAATCAGTATGGGTGTGGTAGCACTCTGAGTCAGCGCACGGATGAATGATTATGGTATAATGTAGTTTAACTATTAATATAAATTGCTACATACTTAATACATAAGTAGCTATTATATATACAATATAAATTGCTAGTATATAAAAATTATTTTTAAACATAGGCATTGCAGGTCTACTTTTTTAGATCCCATAATACGACATAAGTAGCACAATATCGCAAACAAAATTAAATATGAACATCCTATTTTAAAAATAGGTGAATGGCCTCAGATAAATATTGCGAAAAGTTATCGTATTTTTAGAACAGACAACAGCCCAATGAAAAGCTTCCTGGGCTGGGCTGGGCTGGGCTAGGCTGGCACACAGCCCAATGAAAAAGCCTCCTGGGCTAGGATAGGCTGGCACATGGTGGACACGCCAGTCTAAAAAACGTGACCCCACCATGATATTAATTTTGTGCATGTGTACTGGCCCTATTTAAGCTCACGTGATGATCCATGATTACGTGCATGTAAAAGCCTATGGGCCAGCTCACAAAAATTGAAAAGGCCGCGGGCGACAGGGGTCGCTCGCTCGACAGCGAGCGCGACCGTGCGCGCAATAACATTTGCGATTCAGATCCCCCGTCTTCTTCATCCCGGAAGCATCACTACACTTTTTTTCGTCAGAGAAGAAAGGGGAAGCAGATCACTAGTAAGGAAAACAGCCCAAACTTCCTTGTAAAAGCGGCCCACCCAAAAGAAAGTTGAGCCCAACTATGCAATGCGTGCGGTTTGCTTCGCACAATTGACTGGCCTTAACTTCAGTTTCTCAACAACAAAAAAAAAAAAAAGAAAGACTGGCCTTAACTTCAGAGTCACTTTCTGAGCCCGGCGGTAACTAAAAATCGAGGCTGAAACCTGAACTGCCACGCACGAATCTCTCCGCCGCGGGCTCTTACCAAGTCAAGCGGCAATCTCGGGCCGTCCACACGGGAGCCGGGAAGCTCCAATCAACGGCTCCAGGAGATCGAAGCAACGTCTCTTCTCTCCACGACTCCAACAACCCCGAGCATTTCGCACGCACGTACGCAGTCCACCCTCCTCTTTCGCCGGCGCCGCTCCCTTCCGATCCGTCTATCCAGGTCTATATAAACACCCTGCCCCACGCACTGGTCAGTGCTCACACGCCGCAACACCAATTCAGTTCTTCACTTTCTCTAGAGCTGCAGCATTCGTCCATTCGGCGAAGCTGTGATCCGATCGCGTAGGGCTCCATCGATCCGCTGCATGCCAATGGAGGCCACCCTCCACTTCGCCGTGTTCGCGTTCTCCTGCGCCGTCCTCGTGGCGTCGGTGTCGTCGCTGCCGCCGGCGGTGTTCAAAGTCGGCGACGAGCGCGGGTGGACGGTGCCGGCGAATGGCACCGAGACGTACAACCACTGGGCCAGGAGGAACCGCGTCCAAGTCGGCGACGTCCTGAGTAATAATAAGCACACTTGGTTATTCATTCATTCATTTATTCTTGTACCGTGCCTGTAGCCTCTCTCTCTACTTTTCCGATATAATGCGCGTGTTTGATCGATGTCGCGTCGCCGGCTCGCCGCCGCGCGTTCGCGTACGTGGTCTGGTGCATGCAGGTTTCAAGTACGCCAACGACTCGGTGCTGCTGGTGTCCCACGACGACTACAAGCAGTGCAGCACGGAGACGCCGCTGAGCCGGTTCTCGAGCGGCGACACCAAGTTCAAGCTCGACCGCTACGGCCCCCTCTACTTCGTCAGCGGCGTCGCCGGCCACTGCGAGGCGGGGCAGCGGATGATCGTGCGGGTCAGGGCCCCCACCGCACTGTACGGCGCCCCCGCGGCGGCGCCGGGGATGCCGCCGACCGTCAGTGCCAGCCCGGTCTCCTCACCCGCCGTGCCGTCGGTCGGCTCCGGTTCCGCTTCCACTGTTCCCACGCCGAGCCCGAGCCCGCTGCCGCAGGCCAGCGGTGCGTCTAGGCGCGTGCTTGGCGTCGTGTCGTCCGTTGCAGTAGGGCTTCTGGTCTTGGTTGCCAGTGCCATCACCCTGTCCGTGGTGGTTTGAACTTCGAACTTAGACGTGTGCTTTCTGTTGGTTCTTGATCCATACTTATAGTGACGTCGGTTTAGGAAGTAATGTTAGCTTTTCATTCAAGATCTAGGTGAAGTACGTCTCGGTTAGAATTGGTAGGGGCCACTGGCCAGTCGCATGCTTGTTAGGTGAAAGAACTTGTGTAATTCAATAAATGATGATTAATCTACAGTTGTCATCAACTTAATTTATTTTGTTGTGCAACCTGCGACGTAGATTTGCACCCGGAATCCCGGATTGAGCTGTTCAATTTCAGTTTTATTGGCAAATTGGCACAGGTACTACTGCATGTTACACCTCCCTAGCCACCACCGTTGGGGAGACATACGAAAAAGGAAACAGAAATATTAGCACTTGCACGTTGGGGGCATTATTTTGTTCGTACGGTGAGGCTTTCGTATTTTATCTTTTTTTTTATCTTGTGCAAAAGGGCATCATAAGAGTCTGATTGGTTGGTTGTATTTATATATACCTGTCGGTGATACCCATAACCCATATTCAAACCCTTACCTATCCAGGTTGATAGTGAGATCAAATTTGAACAAATGACATTGCTATGTGACAATGAAAATACCGTCAAAGATAGCCACCAATCCGATTCAACATTCAAGAACCAAGCATAGGATATCCTCCATCACTTCATAAGAGTGTTTGATGATTATTATTTTTTTGGGAAAATGGTGTTCTTGCCCTTATGCAAGAGTCTAATTGTGATTTTGCCCTTGTTTTCTCAACTTTGTGATTTTGCCCTTGCTATTTTGAATTGAATCATCCGTTTGCCCCTGGTTTGGATGCCGTCAAATGGTCATGGAATAAATGAATTAAAAAATTCAAAATATGAAAAAACAAAGGCAAAAAGACCAAATTGCCCCTTATCCTTATATTCAGTGCCTTTCTCACGGGCCGGCTGCATCGACCGGGGCGTCGGGGCATCTCTGGACGGCAATGGCATTAGCGGCAAGACGGCCTGTGCAGGCAGCTGTAACTCCGGCTCCCGTGGCCAGCGGGCTCGTCGTGCTGGCTGGCAGCTCCTCCTCCCTCCTTCCCGCTCCCCCCGGCGCGTCTC